GTCCTCATTTTACCCACCTCGGAAGGATGGAAGGCTGAGTCAACCCTGAGCCGGTGAGATTTGAACTGCAGAACTGCAGTCAGGTGAAGTAGCCTGCAGTGCTGCATTTAACCACTGCGCCACCTCGGAACATGACCACAGAATGCTGGAACAGCTATAAATGCAAGCCAGCTACCAAGCACCCAAAATGCAAATACATGACTGCAAGGGTAGTGCAGTAGTCGTAACTTCATGGACAGGTTATAACTTACTTTTTTCAAGTTTGTTATAACTTTGAACTATCGTTTAGCTGTGGTTCTAAATCAAGAACTACCTGTAAGTGCTTCAGACCTTCAGTGAGCACCTCATTTCTGCTCTTCCTTAAAGCAGACCACAAATCCCAGACTTGGAGATTGTAAAAGGAAGCTGCTACCTAAGGGAATCCACCCATTAAAATGAACTCATAAGCCAGAATCATCCCTTTTCAGTCTCTTGGAAAAGACTGATCTTATTTCATGAAGAACAGAAAGATGCTATGTTTGCTAGAGGTCATTGTTTCACCCTAATAATTGTGGAAGTGTGTACAGCCCTAGCAGGGGTATAGATTTGGGATTGAAGAATTACCATTCCGTTTTTAGAGACTAGCCAACTGATACCTAAATATGGTACAAAATTGTTAATAACTGAAGCTTTTATGCCTCCTATAAGGGTTTCTCTTCTAGCATATCAAGCATGCAGCTTATATTATGCTCCTTTCACTGCTATCCTGGAGTGGTATGTATACTAACTCCTGCCTTCTTTACAAACTTATTTGCAGATTGTCTGTGGCTATGCGCACACGCTAGCACTAACAGATGAGGGTTTACTGTATGCCTGGGGAGCAAACACTTATGGGCAGTTGGGGACTGGCAACAAAAGCAATCATCTCAGCCCAGTGCAAATCATGATGGAAAAGGAAAGGTAAATGCCACTGCAGCTAACGCTTGCTGAGCTGGGAATAGGGTTGTATCAGCTACCTCCGATTCATGGCTCTGGAAAACAAATGTGTGCATGCATTTTGTTAATGAGCACTTTGGGTTCAGGGGGAATAATCCAATATGTAGTGCAAAAGGGCTCTTCTTGATCCCCCCCCCTATTTAACAAAGAAAGGCAAGTTTCTGGTTCCACCACAAAACCGCGGTAGACTAAAGCGCGTGTGACTAAAGCGCGGTGACAAAACCGC